CTGGCTGCGTAAGCTGTTTAAAGAGCTTATAAGCGACCAAAGTAGTAATGGTTACGAAACAATTAGCTCAAACAAGATACTATTCGTGAATCGTTAAATGTACATGGAACTAGGAGAGTATTGGCAATTGTTGAAAAGAAATGATCGTTCGGCAAAGCAACGATCAACGCTCCCTTCTACTTCTCGATCGATATTGCTCCTTTTCCTTCTCTCTATTTCCTTTTGTTTCTATTATTACTATTATTATTATTGAGGAAGATACGAATTGTTAATTGAGTGGACTCGCGACGACACGACGGTACGAGGAACAGAGCTGAGGGAGCAAAGTGGCATCGGTGTAAGGGCGTTAATAATTAATAACAACAATAATAATAATAATATAACAACAGTAGTGACAGGTCGTTGAAAAAACTGAAGGCCTCACCCCAAAAGCAAACCACGGCGGGCTCGGTAGAAAAGCGAGACAGGAACCAAGGTTGCCAATATGCACTTTCTAGAGGAACTATGTATCATCTAGGTATACATACATATACATACATACATACATACATACATACATATAAGTATATTAATATAGAAAAAAAGGAACATACAGATACACATATATATGTACATGTATATGTATATACACGCGTTAAAGAGAGAGAAAGACATACGTGTGAGTACAAAAAACGTATCTACGCCAGCTAGTAAGAAAGGTGGAAACAAAAACGAAGGTTTCATTTCTTCGTTATAGTTCCGCTACGTCGCATGCAGATTCTTATTATCCTCTTTCGAACCGTGTGTTTTCTTTTCTTTCTCGTTTTCTTTTTCTTCTCTTCGTTTCCTTCCCGTGCGCGCGTGGAGAGAGACGCACGCGCGCGTCCCTTATTTTTTTTTTTAATTTCCCTCGGTATCAATTATTCTCCTCCATCGATCCTAAACAGGGTGGTGGAACAACAAACTCGCGAATATTTCACGAAAAGTTTCAAACAATAAAGCATTCTATCGGTGGTGCCAGTGAAATTGATGCGGTGCAACGAAAAAGGTCAAGCATCGAAAAAGGGGAAGCAACCTCACCATCAATATGCATCGCGCATGCATCGCGACACTTACCTGACGATCTAGCGCGATCGTGAAACGCGTTTCGAGAGCTTGGATCAGAGAAGACCGCGTTGTGCTCTGTTATCGCTCGAGAATCGTGACTATGAGATGCGGGAGGAGAATGGAGAACGTTCGAAGAATCTTGGGAGAGATGAGGGAGAAAGAGAAACGTGGACTTTTGGAAATCTCGAGGAGAAGAAACTCGATCCGATAAACTCGTCGCCGTTGTCTCGAAGGGGAACAACCAGAGAGACACAGAGTTCAACCCAGATCGGACAAAGGCGGCAGCAATCGGATACGATCGATAGTTAACATGTTTCGATGAAAAGGAGAAGCTGAAACGTGGAAGTGGTGGCGTGAACGAAACTACGAATCCTTTATCGGCGGTGCTAGCCGGATTTATTGATCCGGCCGGCGGCGTCGTCCGATGGTAAGGTTTTCCAGGAATGGAGCAAAGGTTCAAGGGATGCAGCGCCTCAGGTGCATTCATCTGCTAACAGGTATTACGCTGCTTCCTTTATCCGAAACCTGACCAGGTAGATCGTGCCTTCTATTCACCTTTCTCGTGGAGATTCTCTCGCGACGAGCGGTAGTTTGCCAAGAATCTCGGCCAAACTACCTGGACAGGCGTTGGATTCAAATTTATTCGGTCATCGTGAAAGTTTGCGCTGTCTTTTTTTCTCAACCGTTTCCTTCGAGAAAAGGGAAAACAACAAAATCACTTTGCTCTGTCGTTGTAGAGCTTGAAACGGTTTCAGGAACTTTCAGGATGGCTCGGTAAGTGATCGACTCGACGATAGTACAGACAGTAGAGTAACTCGAGTCTTCGAGTGCGTACACAAGCGACACTGAAATCGTTTTCGTGGGCTAAACGAAATTGCCGTGTTCGGTGCATTGCGACAGTATAGAAGCGTGTCATTTAAAGATGCAGTAAGAATAATAATCGTAATAGAAGAAGAAACAAAAAGAAAAAAAAAGAAAAAAAAAAAGAAGAACAACCGACAACGAGTAGAAAATTACAAAGATTTCGACCACGTTTCGCATCGTATTCTTTTCGACGATAATTCGACGACAGACACACCTAAACGGTGCTCGTTTGTCGCATACTGTAATACGTAAAGTCTTCGCATCGTTGTACAGTTCAGACAGTTCTTCTCGCGAGTAAAAATAGCACCGACAGTGGATCTTTCGCCATGTCTTTCGGAACTGAACGATGATCAACGTATATCGCCTTGAAATCGAGGTTTCTTTTTACTTGGCTGCAAGTTTCTCTTGGAGTAAAATATAGACCGACAATTCGATGACTCACCTCTCCAGCTTACTTTGATCGGACAGGTGATTGTCTGGTTCTTAATGAGGTATGCGTTCAGCGACGTCAGGCTCGGACTTTTTCGCAAGGTACCTTCGTCGTTCTTCCACACGTACGTGATCGCCGTTTGCTCGTACGATACTGAAGGTAAAACGAGAGACGATATAGCGAAAACTCCAATTCGGTGTACATCCGTCAAGTAGGCACACTTACTGCTCTCGATCGCGAATGAACACAGTGGGTCGTCGAAGGGGAAGATATTGAGTCTACCCTGGCAGGATAGGATGAGATGACGCCTACAAGATCGAAACAATTCTTTTTTTCGACGTTCTTCGTATTCGAAAAATTTAGTCGAAGCTTCCGTCTTTTTTTCTTCCCCCTTTATTTCTTATTTTACGTTTCCGTTCTAAATGTGGAAAGTTGGTAGGGCAGAGGGAGGGGAGCCGCGAAAGCCTCGACGATGAAATGAAATGGTAATATCGAGCATCAGGTGTAATATATACCGCATAAGGTAGTTGACCGTGCCGTTCCGGTATATACGTAGGGCAAAGTGAACCGGTATGAGCGGGTCCTTAAAGTCTCCGTGCATTATGAAGTACGTGTCCGGCAACCAGATATCGTTGTAGTGATGAATCGCATTCAAGAACTCGTATTGCGATCGGTTGCTGTAGCGCAGCCGTGGGTCGTACCACTGCTGTTGCAGCAAGAACTCCACCTCGTATTTCTGTCGATAGAAAGCGGGCAACACGGGGCAACCGTTACCATTTCGTTAGGCTAACCAACCGAGTAAAATTTAACGAGATTCGACGTGGCTAGCGTGCGCCACGCTCCCTAACAGCTGTTCTTCCGCAAATTTATCTCGATCGCGTTTAATCCCCCCTGATCTCGCGATAAATTCTCTATTTATTTCCTTTCTGCTTTTTTCTCCCCTTCGCTTTTTCTCTGGCGAAAGGAGAAATAGAAACGGGGAGAATACTCTCGATCGAGGTAAACGGAGGAGAGAAACTGACGGAAAGATGTCAATTACCAAGCTGGACTCGTCCGGAGAAGCCAAACTTAGCAACAGCACGCTCACGTTCACGGTCAAGGTTCCTGAAACACAGTGTTGCATCGTTAAAACTTCAAGTTGGAGAATCTAGTGGAAAGAGCAGCCACGAGAAGAGCACGCTAATTCGCAATTCGACATCTCTCCGAGGGGAGACGTCTCGCGTTAATCGGGAGAGGGAAAATCGGCGGAACGTGGCTTTCGATTCTTCTCTCGATAGAAATTAAGCGGCAGCGAAGCAGAAATAGCCTCCCGGTAGTTCCATTGTTTAGAAATGAAATTAGCGTAGCCCTTTCGCGTTCGTTTCAGCCGGATCCAAGCTCACCTTTCGAAATCGATCGAAAGATCAGCTCTGCGAAAGCCGGTGGCCGCGCGTTCGAAAAGGCAAAACCGATAATAAAAACGCCTTTTCTCACTTTGCTTTTCTCTTTCTGTTCATCTACCGTCTACGTAAAAAGTCGTTGCTGTTATTGCGAAAGCGTCGTTAGAGCCATGCTGTGCACATGCTGCGACTAATTTCGTGTATCGTATTAGTGTGAAGCTCGTGATCGGGATAGTTGGGACTCGATCAAACGGTGTATTTTCGTCCATTTATTTTCTTCTCTTCGATCGTTTCACGCCAATTCGAGAGATACGCCTAAACGAGTCCCAACGCGACCGATTCGACAGCAAACGGAAATTCAGCTACGCAAAAGACACGGCAAGACGATCTGGTGTCTATACAGTACGCTGGTGTGTAGAGAAAAACAGATGGAATAAATGGAACAAGGATGGAGAAAGTGACGTCTAAGAGATCGTATTCGACGTTAGAGGAACAGGGTTCTGTTTGGCTCCAGCCTTTTCGGATTCGATCTCGTCTTGGCTGCTCGCGCGGCGAAATGCACGTATACGCTCGTTTCTAGCTGCAAAAATATACGATATATATAGAGAGAGAGAGAGAAAAAAAAAAAAGAAGAAAATTGATCGACGCGTTTCGCTTTTAATCGAAACCGCAAACAACACACCGGCTTGCCGCCAGGTTTCCTTTTCGATAACAGCCGGTGTATTATTGTACCGGCGAACGAGCGTTAATCCAACGACAGATCGGACACGAACGTTGCTCCGCTCGAAAAGAATCTTTAGAAGACAAACGCGCATACGTACTACGTAGCTTACGTACATCGTCGACGTTGTTCCAATATTCTCCTGTTCGAGCCTCGAACCAACGTTTCACGCAAATAACGCAAAAGAAGAAGAAAAACAAACAAGAAAAATTGTCGCGTGTATATACACATGTATGTACGTATGTATGTGCGACGGGGAAGGAACGAGTCACAGTTGTGTAATCGATATCGTGTAATCGAAGGTTCAGGTCGAGCAACAGGTTTGTCACTTTCCATCGATCGGATCTCGATACGCGCCCAAGATCCGACTGACTCGTTGGTCGAAACAATGAGAGAAACGGTTGAAAAGAGATCGATCGATCGACCTGTAAACCTTCGTACGGAAATTCGACGGACAACCCATTCAGGATTCGATCGCTGTTCTTATATTTCAGTCAACTGTGCGGGTCCGGTGATAACGAGACGGTAAGAGAAGAACCGCGGAAACTGAATGGGTCGTGTCGTGTCGTGTCGTGTCGTGTCGTGTCGTGTCGTGT